GCAAATATTTTGACTCTGATTTATCAAAAAAATAATCAAGACCAGATCGCCCTTTTCTTTCTCCCGTTCCTTCTTCCACAAATTTTTTTATTTCTTCAATATCATCATAATTAGCAAAATTTTTCAGATCGGAAAAAATTTCCTTTCACCTATCCTCTCTTACCTCTTGACTTCCACCTTTAATTTCTTTCAACCACAATTTAAATTCCTCAATAAGTTGGAGTATTAGAACACCTTCCCTTACCATAATATTATTATTTTCCTGAATTTCTTGGTGGAATTTTTGTCTCGTTTCATTAATGAAAACAAAACAAAAAATAGCATTATGTCAAACTTCAAAAATTTTTGGAATTGTCGTAAGTAAAGATAAAAATAATAGAAAAAGATAAGTAAATGGACAAAAACCTTCCGGAAAAAGTTGTTGAGAGAATGAAAGAACTCGCTTCTTCCTTAAATAAGTGGAACCATGATTATTGGGTGTTAAATCAGCCTAGTGTCGAAGACACCGTTTACGATAAGCATTTAAAAGAATTAGAAGAATTAGAAAAAAAATACAATTTTATTTTCCCGGGTTCACCCACTCAAAAAGTAGGTCATTCAGTTAGCAAGAAATTTCGACCGGTTGTCCGAAAAATTCCCATGCTAAGTTTAGATAGCGTAGACAACTATGAAGATTTACTTAGATTTGATGAAAGAGTGAAAAAAATACTAAAAATTGAACAAGAAATAGACTATGTTGGCGAATGAAAAATCGATGGTCTTTCTGTTAGTCTCATTTACCAAAATCACCACCTAGTTCAAATTAGCACCCGCGGGAATGGAAGAGTAGGAGAAGATATTACCTTTAACAAAGAATTGATAAAAAATATCCCCCCTTCCTTAACTAAAATTGCTAATTGCGAGATAAGAGGAGAAGTTTACATGAAAAAAGAGGAATTTATTCGTCTTAACAAAGAATTGATAAAAAATAATAGTAAATTGCTGGCTAATCCTCGCAACGCCGCCTCAGGAAGTTTACGAACGCTGGTTCCTTTGCAGAATAGAAATTTACATTTTTTTGCCTACCAACTATTTTTTGACAACGATAGAAACAGCACTTATCAATCATTCAATAGTCAACTTGAATGCTTACAAAAATTAGAAGAATTAGGGTTTGCTGTTAGCCCTGATTATCGCTCATTTACTGGCATTCAGGAAGTTAAAAAATTTGTCGAAAAACAAGAAAGCAAGAGGGATGGTCTAGATTTTGAAAGCGATGGTGTGGTGATAAAAGTAAACGACCATTCTTATTACGAAAAACTAGGTAAGACCAGTAAATTTCCTCGCTGAGCCTTGGCCTACAAATTTCTCGCTTCCGTAACTAGTAGTCAAATTAAGAATATTTACACCGAAGTAAGCCGCAGTGGTCGCATAACTTACGTGGCTGAAATAGAACCAGTGGTTTTAGTGGGAAGCAGGATTAACAAAGCCACTCTTCACAATTACGCTTTTATTCGCAACCGGGCATTAAATATTGGCGATGAAGTAGTAATTAAAAAAGCTGGGGATGTCATTCCCCAAGTAAGTCAGGTGATTAAATTAACTAATAACCAAACACCTTGACAACCTCCGACTAATTGTCCTTCGTGTCAAGAAATTTTAAAATGAAATTCTAGCAATATTTACCAAGTTTGCAATAATAGAAACTGCCCGCGAAAAGTCATTAATAGTTTGACCCACTTCGCTTCTAAAAATGGCTTAGATATGAAAGGAATTAGCCAAAAAATTGTGGAAAAATTGTATAATCGTCAACTTTTACAAAAACCAACTGACTTCTACCAACTGCATAACCGAAAACCAGAATTATTAAAAATAGCCGGATTTAAGGAGAAAACAGTAGAAAATATT